GGCGGCGGCGGCGACTGCAGCGACAGCGGCGGTGCTGGGTACCGGAGACCGTGGAGTTGGCGGGAACTATTCCTGTGCTCTAGATACCATGAGAAATAATAGAGAAGATTAGGAGAAATCTCCCTTATGTGTTTAGCATACACATAGGGTAGTTTATTTATAATGTAAGATAAGGGTTAAACCCTAAATACAGAATGGGCTAAGCCCAATTAACATAAACACACAACTTAACATTTAACAATTCCCATATATCATGATAATACATGTTAAAGAAGCTACAGCTTGCCTTGAAAGTGGGACTTTCTGCTTTTTGAATTAGATATGCATTGGGAGGATAATTGAACAGAGAAGGTTTCAACCAGTGCAGCTTCAGCTATACTGTAGTTAGCTTATATCCTTGACATAAAATGGAAAAGTTGATTAGAGTGTATAGTGAAGTTTGCCTTGTGCTAGCTAGTTGCTATTTTTCCTTCCAGTTAGGTTTCTGATCATATGGGTGTATTTGGACTCATACTTTAGGTGGCAGTTCTTCAATCAACCTGGGTAACTTTAATATATGGAATTTTACCTTTAGGAGATTTTATGTATATATACATTGAAGGTAGGGTTGGTCTTAGATATTTTTAAGGTTCAATTTCTAGTTCATAAAACTTCAACTAGTGCACTAATTCGTTTATACACAAACTTGAGCTTTCCAAAATACTGTTCACATAAGAGAATTTGAAGGTTTCTAAAATGAGACTGCTAACTCCAGAGAGATAGACAATGAAAGTGGGATAATTGGAAAGTAAGAGAAACAACAATCTATTGCTTCGTGTGATGTTATGTATGAGAGATCAGTGATCTTTAGGAAATATTATTTGGTTTTTATTTTTATTTTTAATGTGTAATCTAGCAGTGTGTAGGTCTGAGTTATTTGGATTAGCAATGTTAGGCTAAATCAAAACTTAAACTTTCTCTTGCGCTTTCTTTGTGAAAAATAATCTATATCTGTGAATATACTTGTTTGCATAATTTGTAGATTTAACTTAATTAGATGCATCATGGATGCCACAACTCAGTTGTTTAAGTATGTTTTGTGAATTGATTGTTACTGGTGCAATTTTTCTCATTCACCACTTTCACTGTAGGGTTCCTACACCAGTTGCTGTTATCATTAGCGCCACTGTGTTTGCCCTTGCACATCTCACACCAGGAGAATTTCCACAGCTGTTTGTTCTCGGTATCGTGCAAATACTTGACAACATGATCTTCAGACATGGAAATAATGAATTGAATATAAAATAATTTAATTTGAACAAGGGAAAATGTCACTTTTTATGTTAACAAAAAAATTCAGTCCATTTTTTGATTTTAGAAAATGTTTCTGTTTCAGTTAATGTAACATCCCGATCTAGTAATATAAAATTACCAACATGAACATTACATAGATAATGATATAACAAGAACTACCATTTTACGAAGAATAAAATTCTTCACCTAAAGAATAAAAACACCACCTACACTGCAAGCTTCACTCCTAACCTTTTGCTGAGACAACTGAAAGATTATATACCTAAGCTCACACCATTAAGGTAATCATTGCAAAAAAAAAAAACAACAAACAAACACAAACCACAAAAAAGCAAGAGTAAGCTAGTGTACAATTGAGAAACGATACATATATATACACTCATTTAAAACTTGTATATACAACCAACATATCACTACAAAATCATCAAACACTTTATGCAAAACACTTATTATGAATAGACTGTCCGGACTTAGAATGATTACCGAGCTATGGCGGGCACTCGTGGTGGCTTCTACTGTTTTGCAAAGCCATTGCCAATGGGTTTCACCCTACCACACTCACGAGGTTAGTCCGTTATCACTCACTTTGGTTCATACTGGAAGCACCCAAGACTATGACCTCTTGATACTCCTCATGACATGAATCAATCCTCTCTACTTGAGAATGAAAGACCATTGGAGTTTCAGGATAACCCCCAAGACTGAGCTCCTGCATTATTCTAAACATACTTGAATCTCAACAACAACATTCACTTTGGAACATACTTTTACTTTGAAACACAACATAGGGCACCTCCATGTAACCTCTCCGTGAGGCTCATGGAATTACATTCATCAACCATACTTAAAAACCACATACTTTCATTCACTTTGAATCACCATTCATACCTTTGAATCACATACTTTTATGTGTAGTTAACATCCATGTTTATCCTTTATTATATAATACAATACACTCTCAAACATATTTCACAGACCAAACAATAGTACAACACAAGATGATAGAAAAAGATAGTAAACTAAACTCAGAACTTTCGCACAACGCACCCCATTCGCAGAGCGAGACCAGGAGTTTCTCGCACAACGACACAACTCGCTGTGCGCATTAACTATCGAGTCCCATATGACTTACCAAGACTATTCAAACTGACCATTTGCACACAGAACTCCAAACTCAAGTTTTCACTACTACACTTCCTTAAAACAAGTTCTAATCCAACAAGAACTCTACACATTAACCACCACACACTCCTAACTCAATTCTCTCACAATTAAAGTATTGAACATAACTCAAACCAGTTCATAAGCAACCCAAACTTCATCCAATTAGTTCATCAGCCATTTCTCACCATTTCACTACCTTAGACCCTATTTTAGACCAAATAACCAACAACCAAGATTACTCTTTTCCTTTAATAGTTCAATTAGCACCATTCACTTTAACAACATCTATTTCAACATCATAAACATACACACAACAGATTTCACATGTTTACAACATCCATCAACATACAAAGCATGAATTTCACCCAATTACTTAAATTATCACTAACACAAAACCACAGTTTTTCAGCTAACAATTTAATCCTCATATTCCATCAATTCACACCACATACTTCAATTAAAGCAATTATCTAGCTTTCCTTACCTCTGATCAACAACACAACTCACAGAAACCCCAACCGCTTGCTTGCACCGCAAGGAATTTCTAGAAACGCGTACATATCACCAATTGGTGATAAGAAACAACTCTTAAAACCTAGATGGAGCTATAAATTGATGAGGAAAGCAACCCCATACATGCAAACAGAAAAACGTTGCATGATCAAGGTTAAAGACATATGGGAAAATAGGAGAAACGACTTACCGGCCGGAAACAAGAAACTGACTGGTTAAGATTGTAGCCCTCGACGCCAGGATCGTCTAGGCACTTCCTGATCGTCGAACAGATAACTCAATCGTGAGAAATTCTAGAGAGAAGGCAGAGAACTCTAGAAAAGTGTTTTCTAGAGAGATGGTACGTTTTAAAATAATGAAACTCGTTTATAACAAAACTATTTATAATAAAACCGTTTAATATTAAAATAATCGAGTCTCAATATTTTTAGACTACCATCACTTCTAAAATACCATTTTTCTGGGGTTTTACAGTTAACACTTTCACAAATAATTTAGAAAATATCATTTTTTTCACTTGCATTTTCTGTTGTTTTCATTATTTTTTGTACAAACATTTAAAATATAAATGAAGTGAAAACATTTATGTAACTTTTTGTGGAAGAAGAAATGAAAGTAGCAACGTCTACTTTCTGTTGAAAGATTGTGACTCCACATACTCTGAAAAAAATAACAGAAATTTTGGCATACGCAGGGACTGCTTTGGGGTTTTCATAGGCTCAAACTCACAACCTTCTCACTCCCATCACTATTCATGCCTTTTGGAACTCGATATTATTTCTTACTTTTCTGCAGGTATTAATTATCACTCCTTGTTTGCAAATTCTGTTAGTATTTACAATCATCTTTTATTCAATATTATGAATGCTTCATCTTCTGTTTGTAATTATAGCTTCAAGGGTACGATATCAGAGAATTGTTGCAGGTAACATGATGGAAACCTTCTCTCCCATGCATGGATGTTGAGCATATGTATACAGTTTAGAATACATAACCATTTCTTTGTTTACAATTAGTGAAGAATGGTTGTCAGTGGGTTACCTTGTCTTAAGTCTTTTGAGTTTAAAGTATGAAATATTACTTAACTCTAGCAACAATAAAAAACATTCTAGTTCCAAGCTAACATTTTTAATAAATAAGGGTTAGAAATGTCATTTTACATAATTTTAATGGTTACAATTATGATAAATCAATGTCATATTTAAAAAAAAAATTAAAAATCCTAAAATCATCATATTATAAATTAAAAGTGATAATTTCATAGATTCGTTGTACTAAAATCATTATTATTAACACATTCTTTTAGTGTTTTCTTAGTCTTGTCTCAATATTCTAAGATAGAAGTAACGATCCTCCAAAACACTTAAGTGGATTCTCATTTTCAATTGGAATATTTACTTATCTTCTCATGTCCTTTATTCCATTATATTTGACCGTGTGTTTAGTAATTCAATCTTTTGTTGTTCGTAATTTCTTATCTACTTCTTAATCCATATAAGCTATTGTGTTGATGGAATCATTGAATCAAATCTTTCATGGAGTCAACATAACTTTAGGCAAGGATGAGATTCTACTTTTGATCTAGTTTTCCTTTTATTATAAGCTTATATGTTGTTTAAGCTTCCAGTGCCTATATCTACTCTATTTGAGTGTTATACTTAAGGTTGAGTGATATAGGCTTTGGTCAAGGTGAATTTAGTTTATGCAAGGTCAATTTCAAAATCAGATTCTATTAGATCCAACATTAGCACACTATACTTTTTGTTTTTATTAAGTGCAAACAAATGTCGGTTTTCGTCTGAAAGATTACGTTACGTTGTCCGTGTTAAGAAGTCTCTTCATGCGTATATCTTATGCAATTACATTGTCTGTCTATATTTTCTTAATTATGTATAGACCTTGCATCTTTCTACTTAGCAAAAGTTGTGTTTGATAAGTGTTCTAAAGTTATCATAGTAATGATTTGTTGTATTTGTTCTCTAAAACGCAATAAGTGCATCTGACACATTTAAACTTAAATGCACAATTAGAAAACTACATTTATATATTCTTGTTATAAAGAATGTTCATAACCAATAATATTGTACCCATAGGACTTTTCTCGTCCTATCTTAAAGTTATAACGGACAAAAGTCAAAGTACATAAAATAGCATACTCTAGGTGAAAATAGGAAGAAACACAATGAAAGAGGGTTAAATTGTGTTTTAAGAATTTTTTTGAACTCTTTTTGCAAGTATCTTCTGATGGCTATGTTTAGATGATGGTTTTACATTTTTAAAGAAATCAATAAAAAATGCTTATATACTTTGTTAAAGAAAATTTTCTTCTTAAGTTATTATATAATGTATCTCCTTCTCAATTGGTTAAGGTGAGAATAACATGTAAAATAAAGAAATTAAGAGAGAGAGTATACACATATATAATTGGTAAAGGCTTTGTATAAATAGTAGAAGAAAGTAGCCATTGGAGTAATTTCTACCCATTGAGTAGTTTATTTTAACGACTTTCTTCCTTTGATGAGTATGATAATAATGGATGTATTGAATGCAATTCATGCAACAATTAATGCTCTTCATTTTCTCAACATCTCAAAAGTTGGATATACTTGTTTTCTTTTTCGATAATATGTATTTACTTGATTCATCTTAAATTGTTGTGTCATACGAAGTTGAGAGTTCTTCCAAAGTAGACAATGCCTTGTTTAGGAATTTAGTGAAGGAAAGAAGTTTTAGAGTTTTTCTCGATATATCTTCTTATTTGTCTTTCCTTCGGTCAATAGATCTTTTTAGTAAATAAAATTGAAAAATATTTTTTATAACAGAATAAGCATTTATAAACTTTTTGTATAATACAAAATTAGCTTATTTCTATATGTTTTATTGTTTGCTATTGTTTATTCTTCATCAAAAGTAAATTTTAGCTTACTTTTTCGTCTTTTATTGTTTTGGAATATTTGTATTCACCTATATGACCCAAACTTGCAAAACCTTCATTATTCTTTGTAAACACTTCTCTATGTGTGAGCTAAGAATGACTTGTCTCAGAAAGTATTGTAAAAGGTTGGAGAAATTTCTCAATGAAAATAGTAGTGGTTATCTTAAAGAAACTCTTAAATAATACTCATATTTTAGTTATGACTAATCTTAAACAATACTTGTATTAGTAAAATTTGACTAATTTGGTAAAAAACTAAACTTATCATATATGTCAAATATAAGAGTTTGAATTTTATTCTCTCCTTTTATATATATATATATATATATATATGAATAATATAGACTATTTTTACATTAAGGTTATGAAAAACTATTAAAATAGAATTCAACCTTGTCTTGTGTTCGTAATAGTTTAGACATTCGTTGATGCTAAATTAGAATCACTTTGACTAAGAACAAGATAAAAAAAAAGTTTTGGATGAGATTGAGTTAAAATACTTTAGATGCCAATTACTCCAATATGTTTTAGTGGATGACAAGCTAAAGTTGTCCTTCTCGAGACTAAGCCAAAGATTAACTAACCAAGGTATAGTTGAGGCAAGTTTTAAATTACTCTGGATGAGATTGAATAAAATCAATCTGACCGTACTAAAAGAATGTCAAGTCAAATATGATCTAATGGAGGTTGAATAAAATATATTTTGATAGGGATTAAAATAAAATTGCTCTAATTAGAATCGATTTGAAGATACTTTAACTAAATTTCAGTTAAAAATATTTTGGTAGAAGTTTAATACAAATTACTATCTTCGAGACTAAGTTGGAGTTACTCTATTTCAGGTTGAGTTGAAGTTTCTCTTAAAATAAAGTTTAAATTGCTTTAATTGTGGTAAAGCTGATATAATTTAGCTCAGACCAAGCTAAAGTGACTCCAAATTAAGTACGTAAACCTAATTTAAGATAATGATAGTTTAACTAAGACTCAATTGAAAATATAAAACTCTAAAACCATACTAAAGTTATTTTAATTGACGTGAAACTAAAGTTATTATGGTTAAGATTGAGTTATAATTAGTCTAATGGAGTTAAAATTAGCAATACTTTTGTAGCTATTGACGGAAAATATTTTATAACTAAAATAATGTTTGTAAGAGAGAAAAATAATTTAAATGTATGAATTATCATTTAGTGGAGATATGTATGTATACATAACAATTATAATTTAAATAATAATTATAATCTAAATCATGTACAATTTAATTATAGGAAATTTAATAACCAAGTTATAAGAATTTAATTAGATTAGTTACATGAAATTAATTACTAATTGACTTAATTTCAGAAAAATAATTTAGATTTTGTCACACTTTCGCAATTTAAGTGGAAGGCTCACAAATGTTTAGACTGGTTTGAAAATTATAAAAAAGAACTTGAGGTGGATCTTTGGTGAAGATGTCAACGATCTGGTGATGGGAAGGGACATGAAGAACTTGTGTTTGAGAACATATTACCTTTTCTGAACAAAGTGAATATTCATTTCAATATGTTTTGTGCGCTGATGTTGCATAAGGTTACTAGATAAATAAATGATACTAATATTATCACAATATATCAAAGTAGCCTATGAGAGAGAAAAATGAAGCTTTAGGAGGAGATTATGGAGCCAATAAAATTCAACAACAACATTTGCAACACTTTTGTATTTAGCCTCTACAGTAAAACAAGAAAGAGTATGTTGGCGCTTCAAAGACCGGGAGTTGAGGTTGTCACCAAGAAACACATAATAACCAGATGTGGAACGTCTATTGTTAGTATATCCACCTCAATCAACATTAGTATAAGTAAGAAGTTTCTCAATAAAGGTCAAATAGAGGAGTAAACCATGTTGTATGGTACCTTGAACATAACGCAAAATCCATTTCAATGCTAGCATGTGTCTGGTACAAGGGGCATGCATATAAAGACATACTTATTGAACAATATATGAAATGTCAAGACGAGTGAATGTGAAATACTAGAGGGTGCTGACAAGATTGTGATATATAGTGGGATCCTCAAATGGTGTGTCAAAAGATGTACTGAGTTTCTACTTGGTATCAACCAAAGTAACAAAAGGTTTGCATAAGGCCATGTCGGCACATGCAATGATGTCACAACCATAGGTTCTCTGACTGAAAAATAGATCACTTGAATGTCTAGTTACTATGATATCGAGAAAATAAATCAAAGGACCAAGATCCTTCATAGAAAATTCAGAGGCGATGAATGTCATCATAAATTTGAGAAGATCAAAGGATGAGGTGATGAGAATGATTTCATAAAATAAAGAAGAATGTATGTGATGTCAGAACTTCATTGGTAGATGAAGAAAGAGTGATCTGAAGTACTATGCTGGAATCCAATGATAGAAATATAGTTAGCAAAATGGTACTAGGCACAAGGTTCTTGCTTTATACCATAAAGAGATTTCCTTAGTCAATAAACATGATCAGGTGAAGATCACCATGTATACAATCTCATGAAGATCACTATGTATAAATGCATTATGAACATGTAGCTGATGAATGGGTCAGGATTTGAACATAGCAATGGTGAGAACCGTGCAAGTGGTAGTGGGTTTTACCATGAGACTAAATGTATCATCATAATTCACACTTGTAATTTGAAACCTTCTATCACCTATAAAACAAGCTTTTTAAGACTTAAAATGACCATTATATTTCTTTTTATGTCTTAAAATCCATATATAATGATGTTGTAAAAAGCTAACAGAATCACGAACAAAATTTCCTGATGCATGTAGTTTCATTGTCCTTAAGGACTTATCCGCGGTGTATTGTGCAAGTCCCCCAAGATACAACAGAAACTTTACATAATATTTTTGAGGATCTCTCAAAGAGTATAAAAATAACCCAGAATTTTCTTAGAAGGGCAGAGAGAGGAGAGAATGAGAAAATGAGAGGATGAGAGAAATATTTTGATGTATTTTGGAATGAAAATAGTTGCTCTATTTATAGAACATATAAAGCACCTTGCAATAAAGAAAATGATCATTGCAGCTTTAAAACAATTGAACGTTGCATCCATAAATCACTTCTGAACGTTGGAGAGAACGTTACTAACCTAACGTTCTTTTGTAATAATTAATATATTATAACAATCCCCCACATATTGCAAAAGAAGTTGAAAGAAAAAGTCTT